TCTGAAACAATTTAATGAAAGGCCTTAATTTGTCTGTCTAGTGGGGTGTGACAAGGTAAAGTATGGTCCCGTCAGCATAATTGACATCTGTTCAAGAACAAAAACAGTTCTAAGAAAAAAAAGTCCACAAACAAAACATACATACACATTCTTTCAAAATGTGTGAAGCCAGTCGTGCATGAATAAAGCCCTGTCATGTAATCCATCGTTCCATCAATCCATCTGTCTCTCTATTTTTCTACTAAATTGCAACAGTGTATTAGTAGAGATGGTAAACAGACAACACTCCTCTTAAAAGTATACTTCACCTCTGGAAAGATGAATTTGTATTTAAAATGGGTCATTTATGTAGAAGAAATGTGAAATTATTTTTTAATTTGGAGCTTTCTAGACTCAGAAAAGCCAGAAAATGTATTTTTAACTTATGTGGGTGAAAGACAACAACTCCCAGAATGCATTTGCTTCGCTGCCCAAGGAGGCCACGCCTACTGGTAACAGAGTGCAATAGTTAAACAACAAGTCTAGGCAACTAGTGAGTCTCCGTGATGAGTCTGCCCGAAAATGTGTTTCGAGATCGGCCAAAATGTCCGGGATTCGGGTTTTGCGTTCTACAGTCGGCATTCATTATGTTTACTGTGGCGAGCAGGACGAGACTGAGGGCCGCGGGAGAACAACGCAAGGCCAGTGGCGTGATTACCGATGAGAGACACCTGTGAGACGCACCGGTCTCGTATCTCTCACGGAGGAGCGGGGATTTTCTTAGCAATGTTAAAACGCACATCAACCGATCACTTGTTTAGCGCTCATGTAAACACTAAATTCAAATTCACCAATCAGAATGAATTAAATTAGATTGAAACAAAAGGTATGCATGTAAACAATGAATCCCGGACATCGATGGCCAGACATGTCCGTGAAAAAGAGGATGGAAACCCCTACTACTCAGCTTTCTCCACAGAACAAGAGCCTGCTAGCTTAGCTTCCAAAAAAAAGATGTCTGACACTGTGTTCATTCTATGAGTGAGCCCCACCCTCTATGGGCGTGTTGAAAACATGTGAAACAGCCCCTATACTGACTGTAGTCTTTAGTCTCTGGCCAAAAAATCCTCCAATTATGCAAAATGACGATTTTTTTCGTCATCTGAGGATTTTTTCCAAAAAATAAAATAAAATAAAAATTAAATAAAAATTAAGGATTAGTCATCCTGTTTAATTAGAATGAATTGAGCATTGTATCGCGACTGCGCGCATCCAAAAAATCACAATAATCTTTGTCCTTTGTTACTATTGGTATGAAACAAAGTCTCAATTTTCAAATTACGTCCATTTTCTTTAGAAATTCAACAACACAAATAGCGTTTTGGCGCTGTGGCGTGAGATCGCTCTGGCGGAGCTCAAGAGAAGCAGCAGCGCTGATCTCACTTCCGGGTTAATAATACCAGTCACTGCGCGAAATAAACATGAACGAGCATCTGAAAGTGTGTTAAAACATAGAGTACAACTTATCGAAATCCGTATCATGTCACATTGATTCGCTCAATCAGCGTTTCAACCGTTAAACAGCTTGTAATCTATGTCATGTATCGTCATATTTACCTCAGAAAACCCACATAAACTCGTTAGTCAGCTAGAAAAAATAACTCTAGAGAGGAGCATTTTGCTAAATATACAGTATACACCATATTACATAGGCATTATAATCTTAATGTTCTTCAATATTTAATGCATAATTGAATAAATCTGGCAAGTTTTTATGACAGCCACCATTTAAATGTTTATATTTCATATAATCTTCTTATTATAAAAATAAATAAAAGTGTAATTTAAGTGTTTGTATAGCTACAAAACACTTAATTATTACCTTCATATTTGGCTAATGAAGCTTAGTAGGCTACAACTAGACTCCCATAGTTTACAGCGATATTGAATCGAATCGAATTGCAAGCTTGTGAATCGAAATCAAATCGAATTGTGAAATTTGTCTCAATACCCGGCCCTACATAAATCTCTGGTCTTAGGGTGGAAAGCATTGTAATTCAAAAATACTACAGGTTTTCTACAAAGCATAATGCTAAATCCTGAAGTATCCCTTTAATACGTACAATGTACACCAGAAACATTCAGTGCAAAGCATACTATGTTTATGCCATGCGCTGTCCATGGTGCTGATCTGAGTTTGAACGCACAAGACAAAACAAGAAAGAGTTTGACGGTGAGCGTGACACTATCTCTGTGATTAATTGTCTTAGTTTTTCATTCGTAAGTGTTATGGGAGTGGTGTGAATGTGTTATGACTAAACGTGTGTGAGGATGGGGGAGGAACTAAATATAGAGAAACACAAAACACACACTTTGCTCTATCAAACAGACAGACAGGGTGGGGGTGGAGGCCCTTCTGCACAGTGTGAAAATAAATAGCTCTGGACTATTATGGGTTTTTCAATGTTCTAATGCAAAACCGATAGAGCGGCTTCAACAGAATTAGAATGCTTAAGCCACCTATCCAAATGTATATGTGTCTTTGCAGTAAATAACAAACAAATTAGGGATGCACAATATATTAAATCCATATCAGTCATTAATTGACAATAGTTCTTTAAAATTATTGTTATTTTCTAAATGTTGGCCAATACCAGATATTTAACTGTGTTCAATTAAATATTCAATGCTCACTGCAAGTACATTTTTCAAATACTTATAATGTTAAAACACTGTTAAATGTAATCTTTAACATATTTTAAATGAGTTTTCCTTTTCTTCCAGTACTTTTTAAAGTTGACATGCTTAAATTCATATGTAACATTTAAAACTACCAGTACTCATTTCCTTTTTTTGTGCATAATTTAACCTTCTCAATCAACACTGACTCAATCTAACTGACGCTTTTGACCATACGTCAAGATCCGACGTTTTAGGGCACCCTTTAATGTCAGTTAGATGACGCTTTCCTAGGGCGTCATCTAACTGACGCTAAATGTAAAGCGGTAGGGTAGGTTTAGGGTAGGGTTAGCTTTAGATAACGTCATCTAACTGACGTTAAAGGGTACCCTAAAGCGTCGGATGTTGACGTATGGTCAAAAGCGTCAGTTAGATGACGTCTTGGGATGAGAAAAGGCTGTTTTTAAATACACACACAAAATAGAGCTTTAATATTGATGCATCAGTGCATCATAGATATATTTACATTTTCCAATTTCTATATCTGAATATCCATGAATAATACATGCAGCTTTCTTCCATGGTTGTTTTGGCAGTTCATTGTGTTAAAAATATTGCCCATTAGTTATGGCTACACACTCTCGGAACTAACACACTTTGCACCGCACAAGCACTGCAATTCTGTTTATTTTATGGTTGTGATGCAGCCAATCAAAGATGAATGACATAAAATTACAAGCTTACTGTTGTGAATCGTTAAAGCAAGTAAACACAAGGCAAGTTTTGAACACTGTCTTTCTGTACTTCCTCGGTAATAGATTTTTGTTCATTTTTAACCTAAAATCTTCTGTACTGTAGCTTTAATGATACCACTTTAGACATACACATATATGTTCTTGAACATTTACAATATTTACTTACATACAAAAAAAAAAAAAAAAAAAAAAAACAAACAGACTGGAACACAAGAGAATGACATTCCTGTTCATTAGACACAGTTTGTTGGCTAATGCAGATAATCTTATGTCATCTAAATATCATCAGATTAATCTACCTGCCCGCTCAAGTATAACAATGAAGAAAGAGATTAGGAAGGAGAGCTGGATTTTTCAGTTGTGCTACACACCACTTCAGCCTCTTATCAACAGAACAAATGAGGTGTGTCACATCTGAATAGTCTTCACAATAAACACACATATGCATGTCTAAACAAACTGCTTTTCTAGGATGGATGCACGGTTGCTGTATATTTATTATTAGTCGGGTGTTGATGTGTGAGTCTGTTTTTAGTGTGGTGCCTTTGTGTAAATGTGTTTGAGTGTGGTGTGGTATTGGTTTGTGTTTCCTAGAACGTGACCACCATTCTCAATATCATTATGGAAATAAATCAGACAAAAGATATTACTCTGTATGTGTTTGCCTTTAACTGGGTAAAATGGAAGGCTGTTCATAACTCATCTAGTCTTATAATAACTAATAAGACAAGACAAATATAGCAAGCAGAGATGGAGATGCCCAACTAAGTAAATCACACACACACACACACACACACACACACACACACACACACACACACATACACACACACACACACACACACACACACACACACACACACACACACACACACACACACACACACACACACACACACACACACACACACACACACACACACACACACACACACACACACACACACACAATCTCCCTCACCTTCCTTCTATTTCAAAGACATAATCAAATGTCACACATGTTTGCTTTTCATGATGGAGATTTTCCACTGACTTCTATTGTTTTTCAACTGAGCTAAATATATTTCCTATCCTCTAAATCGAACACTCACTAAAACAGAAATGACCTAATTTAGTGTATTTATTAAGCTGATTTCCTCATGGAGACCATTTTATGCAGGTGATTTTAAGGTTTGCCACCGTCACATTTGAATCTTAACAATGTGGGGAAAACAAACACCTTCATTCAAACTGCAATATTAGCAGGAAATCATCATTATCTCTTGTATACATCATGTATGAACATCGTTAAACACTGTAAGAGTGTTTAGGGCAAAAAAATTCAATCTTATTAACAGAAGGCAGCTGTACATTTGATATCAATCCTCTCTCTGCGTTTGATGCACATTTAATCGGCTCACTCTCCGTATCTCTTCCATCCATTTCTCCATACTTAGCTCTTCCTTCTGCATCTCTATCATCTCTTCTTCTATCACTCCCTCGCTACCCCGACCATCTCACTCAGCCAATACTGCTGGAGGCTGTCCATCTCTCTCGCTCTCTCAGCCCCCTCCCTCACTCTCTCTCCCTGTATCAGTGCGTGTAGCCGACACTCGCTCCTTAGTCGCTCGTTGGTTCACGCTAACATCTCAACTGCTTGCAAAAGAGGAGAAGAAAAAATACAAAACAAAATGAGTAGATACCGGAGAAAAACTGAACTAGAAACAAATGACAGAGGTATGGAAGGGAACTGCTAAAAATATCCAGAGCTGTCATTTTTTCTTTTCTTTTTTTTTGCACAATTTTTCTTTTTTCGCTCCCTGGATACCTGACCGACAGGATTAAAAATGACTTAAATTTCAATCAGTTGTGGCAGGAGAGAAAGAAAGAGGGATGAAAAAAGAGGAGTTTGTCCTCTGAAGAGATTCAGCGGCACACAGCTGGTGAGAACAAGGGAGTGTTAGACGGAGAGAGAGAAATCAAGAGAGGGAGGGAAGAGGACCGGAGTCCGAAAGAGAGAGAAAGAGGGTCTTGTTTCGCATTTGAGGAAGCCAGGAGTCGGATCGCCTTTTCCTGCAGGACTACCCGACTGGAAATGCTCGAAAAGCAGGTTTGTGTGGATGCATTTGTTTGTGTCTCATTTAAATGCTGGATGTAAAATGGATATTGGGAGTAAAGAAAAAACAAAAAAACATTTCTGATAACGAATAATAAAAACAAGAGACATGGATGATTAGACAGAGAGATGATGCAGATGAAAGCTCGTCAGTCTGCATGGTGACATGCCTGACACCATATAAGACATCTGCTTAACTCATCTCTCTCTCTTGCTCAAACACACACACTAACTTGTAGTCACAGTCTCACACACAAAGCAGCACACACTGTCACCGCACCCACAGATTAAAAAATACTCTGTCTGCATCTGTGATTCTCGACACACACACACACACCCACGAGTTGTTTAATTCAAATGCCGTCACTGTGCTGTCTGCAACATAGTCAAAACGAATGACAAACTGAAGAGGACACAAAAATAACTAGAGGTGTGTGTGTGTGATAGAAATGGGACAGAGAGAGAAGGTGAGAGACAAAAGGACAGGAAACCACTTTGGTGACATTTCCAAGAGGGATCAATGTTTTTTTTTTGCAATCGGACGAGGTGAGAAAACACGGAAAACAGTGAGAGACAGAGATGACTAAAAAAGAGTGATGCAGCCTGGAGGAATTTTTTTAGAAGTGCAAACTGGAGATGACATCAGGGCTGGTGTCTTGGGCTAGGAGGGGGGGTGTTCTGGCCCCTGTGATATGGGGATAGGTAATCATTGGGCCTAGAGGATGGGGGGAGCTACGGAACCCTGTGCTTTTAAATGGCAGTCCTCGATGACATCGGAAGCAGCATGTAATTAATTATTATCTCTTTTCACTGCATGGGAAGAAAAATTCGAAATGAGATATTGTTAACATGTCAGTTGTTTCTCAAAGGAGGTCTCCTACTTCTTAGATTTTTCTCCTGAGAAAGACCCCTGTAACCTCGCATTCATATCAGAAGAGATCTCAAGAACATCTCATTGAAACAGCTAAATTTCCCAAAATACCAAGAGACTTTCAATATGATCTCGAACATTTCTCAGCAAATTTATTTATTTAAATTGGATATTATCTCATTTATTAACTAAATTGATTTAGTTTCATTATCTCCCCATTAATTTGATTGCTCTATGCTGTTATTGTTTATCAACAATAGTCTCATTTATTAATATTTATATTTATTCCAAGGAATTTTAAAAGAAATGTCCAAGACAATTAAACATAACTTGATTAACAATAATTCTCATCAAATTGCCCTCTGTGTTTTAGTCTTTAATATTTATTTACAAAGTATTTGTGTGTGTGTGTGTGTGTATTCACAATGACCACTTAATTGAAATGAATGTTTTTCTTCTCTCTTTCTCCCTCCCATTCCTTACTCATCCTCCCCATCCCATTCAGTCATCCCACCATCCCACCATCCTGTTTTTCTCCGTGCTTTGGACGTTGTTTTGCTGTGGCAGACCTGGCAGCTCACTGGAATTCGACACTGAAAGACGAATGGCACAAACAACTGAAGAGGCGAATACATGAAAACAACAATCACGGCAATTTGGAGGAGAACACAAACAAGGAGCACATCTGGAATAAAGAATAAACAGACTGACAGAATGAGAGAGCAAGATGAGGAGGCGGCGTTGAATGGGAAAATGAGCACATAAACCTCGCAGGTGGATGAAAAGAAGCAGGCAAAGAAGATGAGAGGAAGCGAAAAACAGCAGGATCCTGGAAAATAGAGGGAAGAACAGCTGGAAAGACTCAAAATATGGTGAGAATCTTAAAACGCATTCAGTGGAAATGTGAAACTGCTGGAAGGCGCCAAAGCCAAAATGTTTCACAACAGGAACATTTTAACAAGGGAAGAGCATATCCCGGTGTTTTCCACAAACCAAACTGAAGGAGACACGAGTGGAATTGATAGTCTGATTCAAGTTGAATCCTCATGTTTGAAGTGTGCGCATGGACACAAGATAGACACACAAAAACTCTGTGACACTTCTTTACCTTGAAAAGGGATAAACACCTTCAGTCTGGATTTAAAAAATAATAATAAACACCTCTGTAACTTAAACACATGCAGATAAACACCAGGAAACGAGCAGCTAATTGACCCTGGGATCAACACAGACAGAAAAGGTAAATACTCTTACTCTCTCAAACACACATACTGGAATGGTTGGGGACTAATGTACAAGGTAATTGACTGACCTGAGATGAAAGGTGCAAGGCAGAAAATCTTTACCAAGCTTTTGTATGCACAGTCCTGTTCAAAATCCTTCAGTACACAAAGTGGACCATTTTATCACTCAGAGGTTGCTCTTAGAGAACCCAGGAGACTTAATGGCATTCCGAGTTATGTTTCATTGGAGTACTGACTTTGTCTTCGATGTTGGCTCTAAAATTTCTTGAGACGAATGGCTGACATACAGGGTCTTTTCGCAGTGGTACAGGTACAGTCACATTTACCGTTACTAGGTGATTTTTGCCGCATTGACCAACAGAAAGCTTCTTGGCTCAAAAGTGACTTCTGTGGGAGCTGTGCTTCATACACTGTTGACAATAGACATTGGAATTTTCTTTTTGCCCACAAAATTTGGGGGCGAAATTTTGCTGTGACTGCAGCTTACAGAGATGGAACCTCAAAAAGCGAGTGATTCTGAACACTCTACATTTGCAGACACTTGGTTTGGTAACAGTGCTCAACTCACAATTTATTCCAAAAGAGTTTGGTGTTGGCATGTTGTTTTTGAGTGCATCATACGAATAGTTCTTATCAAAATCTTGCTTTGTCTGCCATGTAGAATTTACTTAGGTGACTGCAATGGATTCCGGGCTTTGGGCAAAATGAGGAATCTTTGGAGGCTGTGTAATTGAGTTGCCTTTCAAAACAGCTTTTGCATAGGCATAGCAACACTGGCTCAACCAATGGCAATGGAGTTTGAGACGGTACTTTTTGTTTGCCAGACTAATGACAGTCTGCGGTGTTCTGTTTGCTGATGCATCAATTATACACTTCACATTTCAATAAATCTAATTTTCTATTTTTCTTTCCTATGCTTCTCTTAGTGTCTGAAATGTGTGGTTGTCGTATGGTGTGGTGTTTTGAAGACAGGACTAGATGTTGACCTTTTTGTAGTCAATTACACAGCTGTAAATTTGACAGTGGCTGACTGGATACACATGCATAGGTCAGAGAACAGCATTCCGCTCTAGAAACGGTTAGGATTGCACACAAACATACAAACACAAACACCTCTCTCCCTCTAATGAAAGTCAGATGTGTATATCCCGTTTTTTTATGGAGCTCAGGATACTTTGAGGGCCATTTATTTTTCCACCTCTTTTGCCTCTTTCTCCCTCGCATAAACTCAAGCACCCACCGACAGTGGCTAATGCAGGGACACAACACAAGAGAGATTGATTTTACAGAGCAATAATGACAACAAATGCACACACACTCACACACAAACAGCTGAAGAGCTGTAGTGCTCTCCACCCAGAGTGCACGCTATGCATATTTATGCACACATATGAAGGACACTTTACACTGCTCTACAGCCTTTCTCTATATTCCTCTCTCACTCTGGTGTATTCTCTCTCTCTCTCTCTCTCTCTATCTCTCTCTCTCTCTCTCGCTGTGTGTTTGAGTATGTGTGTTTGTCATTAAGTGATAGAGGTTGCTTCAAAAGTCACATACATTTTCTTTGTCACCACAGCATTATTTTTGTCATAAATGCCTGCACCCAATCCATCAACTGCCTCTTCAACACTTTTGTCTGATTAATCATATTTAGTCTCTTCCTCTGAGATATCTTTTCTAGTTGATAAGCTGGCGTCAAATATCGATATTTTATTTATTAAAATAAGGAGCTCTAAATAGACTAGGCACTCCCAGCGTCACTACTTAATGATTTCTCGAGGTGGCGCTCAACACATGAATTAGGGAAGCAATCCGAGTAAAAAAAATATAATAATAAAGGATGCCTGTGCCACGTTTAAAGGGATAGTTCACCCAAAAATAAAAATTTTGACAGTAATTACTCACCTTTGTTCATCTTCGGAACACAAATTAAGATATTTTTGAAGAAATCTGAGAGCTGGATCACTCATCCATAGTAGTCCATAGGCTTCTTGAGGAATTGAAACTTGCTGGCCTCAAAAAGTTATTAAAGACTTCGTTAAAATAGTCCAAGTGACTACAGTGGCTCAACCTTAAATTTATCAAACAACGAGAACACTTTTTGTGCGCAAAAAACAACAACTTTATTTCAACTATTCATTTACTTCTCTCTCTGCCTCGAGTCAGGTTACTAGTTTAATAGCGTAAGCTTCTGTTATTGTATGTCACACGCATCACACACATGACCAGCGTCAGCCAATAGTGAGCCTAAGTGTGACGTAGCTCTACGCTATCACACTACGTTAACTGACTAGAGGCGCATAGCTAAGGAAGTGAATAGTTGAAATAAAGTCATTATTTTTGTTTGTTTTTGCACACAAAAAGTATTCTCGTCGTTTGATAAAGTTAAGATTGAGCCACTGAAGTCACTTGGACTATTTTAACAATGTCTTTAATAACTTTTCGAGGCCGGCAAGTTTCAATTCCTCAAGAAGCCTATGGACTAGGATGCTGGAGTGATCCAGCACTCAGATTTAATCAAAAATATCTTTATTTGTGTTCCGAAGATGTATAAAGGTCTTACAGGGTTGGAACAACATAAGGGTGAGTAAATACTGACATAAGTTTCATTTTTGGGTGAACTAACCCTTTAAGTCCAAAGTCAGGAAAACTAGCACTTAACCTTTTCATAGGCATCTTGTTTTCATAGTTAGATAGATATGGTGATGTATCATTATAGGATTGTCTAATATATTGATTATCACAGAAGAATTGCTGTATTGTGATGTTATCATTATCGTGAGCCATGTGTAGTCTATTGTATCATATCGTGAGGTACCCTGTGATTCTCACCCCTGCTTTTGACACATGAGAGTCCAATTGAACTGCAAGTTCATCCTTCAAATCTACATTAACCGACAGCAGCATCAATGTAAACATGCACCAACTGGATGCCTTTAACCTTTGCACACGCGTCTCACGTCCTTTTGCAGCATCTTACTCATGTCACGGCATTTGAGTCGTGCAACACAAAACTGGTGGGAGCCGCTCCGGTGGAGACCAGAGACTGGATCGAAAACCTTCAGATAACAGCACAGCTCATATCTCCCTTGCTGTAGGTTACAGAAAGTGAAACCACACACAAAAACCCTCAGCAGTGTGTCTCTCTCGCACTGTATGATGTGATGAAGACAACTAGTTGTCCAGTCCGGTTCCGTTCACACAGCGGGGGTTTTCTGAGAATGTGGTTGTGAATCCTGAAAATTGACGGTGTGAGTTCGGTTATAGAATGCGGTTTTAACTCTCAAAAAAAAAAAAAAAAAAAACTGCTGTGTTTGAACGGAACAGTATTAAGGACTCAAAAAACAAAAATCTGCTACTGTGTGAACATGGTTTCCTTTCCTTTCCTTTCCTTTCCTTTCCTTTCCTTTCCTTTCCTTTCCTTTCCTTTCCTTTCCTTTCCTTTCCTTCCCAACCAAACCACAGTTGTGGTCTACCTTCGTGCCTATCAACACATACTCTCTCTGCCTCCGTCTTTCTGTGTATATCCCTGCAGAAGCATTATATAAACAGAATGAGTTCATTAGCAGTTAGCTTGAAGCTGTTCAGGAATAGCAGGTTTTGATGAAGGAAGACAGATTATGTAGAAGAGAGAGATGTGCACTGAGCATTTAACATTGTGCTCAGACTGATCTCATGAAATGGTGTATGTATGACACGCCGATTCGTATTTCCATTTTTGACGTGCTATCAACACGTATAATCGCTTTTCAGCATGTTTATGAACGCCGTTGACTTAGAGTCGGCGTGAAACGGAAGTTGAGATTGTAATTTTTTTCCATGTTGTGACGTATATCCAAATGAAACGGCTTCTGAAATTAGAAAAAAAATGTAGGGCAGGGCTTGATTTCGTCCTTCGGGAATTGATTGGATCGTTGGAGGTTGGGTGTTACAAACTGGAGGCAGATTTGAATGCGATTCTCTGAGAGGCGGTTCACCAATAGCCGCACCCTCATCGGACCTGGCCGCACCCTTTTGCCATTCCACGTGACCTAAATAGAAGAGAGGTCGTTTCGATGGGGGAGGGAAGGGTAATGTCTTTGATTAAAGATTAAAGGGTACATGAATTTTTTAAAAATAACGAAGTGCACAGATAAATCATTTATAATAAACAAAACGGTATTACATATAAAAAGAAGATTTGTCAAATTTAATTTCTTGCCTTCTTTAACGTTACATTATATATACATATGACCCTGTCCCTAAACCATCTCGTCACTGGGGTTAATAGCATTTATGAGTGTTCCCCTACCATCCTAGGAAAAAAATATCGCTCCCTAGTAGAGGTCTTCACAGTGCACCCGAGACCCGTCGGCCCCGGACCCGACCCGGGACCCGTACGGGTTCGGGTCTATATTTTAAATGAGCAGCCGGGTCCGGGTCGGGTCCGAATCTATTACTTCGGGTCCCGGGTCTGTTTAACATTGTGTGTAATACCAACGCATTCTCATCCTTTAGCGTCATATAGGACGCGCTGTATAACAAAACGGCGAAATACTACTCACATGGCACCCGTTATCGTTAATATAACACGCGCTGAGAACGGGCTGGTAATACACGTGCGATTGGAGTGCAATCTCAAGCGCGTGTCATGTTTCTATGGCAACCAGAGCAGAGCTTCCGCCAAACCGCGCTTTGCATTTTCTCCAATGTTTATAATAATATAAATGAACCGTCTTGTTTAATCTTAAAGTTTTGGTGGTCAGATTCAGACTCAATGAAGAGCAGAGAGCACAGATATGATCAAGCTGAACAAGCAATCGTTATTATAGTTCAAAAGGGCAAACAGTTAAAGTTATTATGCGAGTTAACTCGAGTTGCAAGGCTGCATTTTTCATCCATCACCGTGACATCAAGTGGACTTTTAAAGCTGAAATAATGAGTGGATTAAGCTTGGAATAACGAGAGAAATAACATGGATAGAACTTTCTTGTCGGTGGATTGTAATGCATCAGTC